CCCTAGACCCTAAAAACCCAAACCCTAAACCCTAAAAGCCCTAAACCCTAAACCATAACCCTAGTATTGCATTTGGGTTTCAAGGCTTCTTACACAGAGACCCAGGTCCTCCTTAGCATCAGCGCTCCTGAAGAGGTCCATGGGTGCGGCTGCGGCGGGTTTAGGGGCTTAGGGGGTTTTGAGGGTTTAGGGCGTAGGGTTTAGGGTTTGAGGGTTTAGGGTTCAGGCTTGAGGGCCTTGAGGGTTTAGGGGTTGAGAGTTTAGGGCGTTCGGCTTTAGGGTTTAGGGTTGAGGGTTTAGGGCGTAGGGATGAGGGTTTAGGGTTTAAGGTTTAAGGTTCAGGGTTGAGGGTTTAGGGTTCAGGGTTCAGGGTTCAGGGTTCAGGGTTGAGGGCTTTTGGTTTAGGGTTTAGGGCTTAGGTTGAGGGCTTTGGTTTTGGGCATGTTCGAGTCTGTGCAAAAAGGGTTGGCGCGAGGAATCGGTGTTTAAGGCTGAGGGTCTGGGGACTCTAGGGATAAGGGTTCAGGCTTTAGGGCTTACCTGGACTCTGAGCTGTGTAGTTAAATTTTTGGGTTGCCGTAGTTTTATACTGCTCTGGGATCCTGTTCTGCAGAAGATTCAACATTGTCGTGTGTTGGTCGGATCCAGTGTTTGGTTGGGTGTAGGAGTTTAGGGCTGCAAGGGCCGGACATAAAGGAGGTTTAGGGGTCGGCTTCTCGTGATTTCAGGGTTTTATAGGTTGTGGGGTTGCAGGTTTAGGATTAGAAGGTTAAGGGCGTAAGGTTGTTTAGGGAACTAGAGTTGCAAAGTTCAGGGCGTGCGGCAGAGGAGTGATGAGGGTGAATGAACAAGTGAAGTTTCAGGGATTAGGGCTTCGAGGATTCAGCAACACAGAGTTAAGGGTTTGAGGTTGAGCCTGCAGCATAGCCGCATAGAGCCCTCGCATAGAACCGTCGCAGTTAAACACCAACCATGAAATTCCCTCTAGCCCCCCCCATACTTTTTTGAGGACGTGTTTGACATCGCTGGCGTTCCTAAGTCCTTGGGTGTCCTAGCGCTACTTTTACTTGCCTTCTTGAGCCTTGGATTGCAGGCTCAGGGCTTGTTTTGCTGAGCCTGGTTTAGTCGGAGGCGTGTTGGAACCCGCTGTCCTGCGCAAGTCCGTTGACATCATGGCATTTCCGACTAGGGTTTAGGGTTCAGGGTTTGCAGGAGGGGAAAACCCCTGCCGCAAGCCACATGTCTGTGAGGAAGCAAGTGGACAAGGCCATTGACAACTTCAATCAGGTCCGCTTGGGCTATATCGTGTTCTTTAGATGAGGGTTTTGTAGGCATTAATTATGTTAAGCTTCAGTTGGCTGGCAGTCAGGCTTACACCCGGGCTCAGGCGCTGCAACCCTCCGCCTTGAGCCGCCAGCCGAAGACCATTTCGTCCCTACTTAAGCAGCAGTAAGTGCACCCTTGGGGCGGGCATGTTGGCTTGGGATGGGGCTTGGCTAGAAATTTCGAGGCTCGTGGGTTGGCGGTGTAGAGTGTTCTTGAATGGTTTGGGCTTTGGAAAGGGGATACAATCGAAAAGGTGTAAGGCGAGTCTGTTTCCGATGGCACCACGCTAAGCCCTAACCCCTACCTTGAACGGCAATAACCGACTTGTTTGGCAGTTCGTCTTTTCAACGCCATAGTATAGGGACCCCACAAAACGTTGGGTGTTTGTGTAGTCATAGTAAACCCTGCACCCTAGCTAGTCTTCGAAGAAAGCACCGATCTTCTTTTGGGGTCTCGGAACCCCTCTTGGGAAGCCCAAACCCCAACACCGCTGCAAAATTCTCATGACATAGAGAACCCCTGTAACTCCCCTGGAAGCAATCCTAGAACCCCCAACAATGCCTCTAAAGCATAGTCCTTGTTAGAACTCTTTGAAGCCCATTTGCCTTTCCAGGCACGTCGTGCCCTCGAGTTGACCGGAACACTGAACACCTCCGACGGGGCGAAGGCTCCAGAGCATCCCTTCAAATTAAGACGCAAGCAGATTCAACAGCAAGAATACCAGGGCCTGTATTTGGGTTCCTTGAGTGCTGAAACTACCATAAAAACTTTATACCCTATGTGCAATATTAAACTACCAGTATCGGTATGACTGCAAAACCGTTTGATTCTGGTAGTCATTGCTATTGTTCTCATGGTCAAAAAGTAGGATCCGAGTCATCGGGCCTCCGGAAGCTGCATTTCCCAAACATTCCAGTTCAGGTTGAGTGCATAGTGCATTCATAGTTGATTTGGGTAATTGTCAGATGCCTACCATAGTACTAATAGCAGATGGGAAATAGTAGTGGTATGGTTATCACAAGTAAGCAGACCAGTAGTAGTCGTAGTAGTAACAGCATGTTGCGAAGTTACGCATGCCCAACAGCTACCTAAGAGCCCTGAGAACGCTTAAGCCAAGGTTCTATTTAGGGTTTAGGGGTCAGGGTTTATAGGGCTTGACCAACCCTAAAGGCCGAGACGCAAAACTTCACAATCCCTTGAAAGCCTGTCCGAAACTCGGTCGCCAGGAAGTTCTGAGGTGAAACTCCGCAGCATTCCTAAATATGTCTGAAAGTGTACGTGTGTGTATATATATATATACATACATTACATACACATACGTACGTATACATATTTTGCATACTGCTCGCATGAAGCATAGGGACGTATATATGTATGTATCACTACCGCATGAAGTTCGATGTTTCCACAAGCTCTACAGGCTGCCCAGATGAGAATTCTTGCTGCCCTCCTACAGAGGTGTTTAAGTTGGATACTGCCCCCACTCAGAAACAGTTGAACAATACTCAAAAAAGCCATATAAGGCCCTTAGTAGTAACCTTATAATAGACTGTTACTGTATGGGGGCAGTACTCCCCGGAGAGCCCAATACCCCTTAATCAAGGAATATAGCTTAAATCATAATATTAAGGCCCCTATAATTTACGGTATATTCCTTACTCTAGGGGTATTGGGCGCTCTGGGTCAATGTTTAAGTATTGGGGAAACCTTGCAGTCATGTTGGCACGAGGAGCCCTGCAGCCAAGATGATTTCCCAGACCCCCAAAAGGATCTAAAAAAAAGATCCCCTAAGGGGGTTCCTATAAAGTACCCTTTAGTAGTTAGGGTCCCTAATTAGGGGATCTATTTTTTAGATCCTTTTGGGGGTCTGGGTTTGGGAGGTGAGCTTTGCCAATTTCCCAAAGGTTCTAAGTGCTTAGATGGTAGATACTTTGGGGCCCAACATATCTACTATATGGGTGGTTGTCAAAATTAGGGTCCCTTTTTGGGTCCGTATTATAATACGGCACCTAATATTTAGGGTACCCCAAAAAGGGACCCTAATTTTGACAACCACCTATATGGGTACTGAGACCCTTTGGGTTTAGGGTTTAGGGTTTAGGGTTTAGGGTTTGCAAGCGAAGCACGTCAACATCAATCGTCAAGCTAATAAGAGCTAGTATTGGCTGTATCCAACCGTCAGAGCCTTGTTGAGGAGCATGAAGAATAAGAGCCGGCAACATTGCAGCCTCGTATTTCTTCCTAAAAGTTTCCTTTTCTTGCCTACTTGCGGGCTGCAGACAGATTTAAGGCATGGAGTCCTGAGCCATAATGTTCCGCTCGCAAGTGTTTGCTTCAAGCTTCGTCGAGCTTATTATTTTTCAACGCAACGGTATGGCATTTTCTGGTGCTAGTTGCTTGTGATACTGCAGTATAGCCAGTGCTCCTGCTGTTTTGGGAAGCACGTGTTTCTGAAACCAAACTCACGGCAAAAGAATCCTGCAATTGATGCCGATTCGCCGGGGAACTCGCCGCAACGAACAGCAACTCCGTCAGCATGGAGGCTTAAAGTCTTCACGCCGGCTTAGACTTAGATATATTTAGCTTCACCTTGCAAAAACCCATAGCCCTAAGCCGCTCGGAAGGTGCTCCAACAACTTGGCCAAGCTTTGCTGGAGCGCCGGGATTAACTTTAAACCCCTCAACCCTAAAACCCGAAACCCCTAAACCTGTTGGGGATTTGGGGTTTTGTTTATAATGTTTGAGGAGCTTAGGCGGTTATGTTTCTTTTCGGGTTTGGCGGCTTTCGCGTTTGAGTTTATATAGTTTCAGGTGTGGGATGGCCATCCCTACGTTCGGCTCTTGGCACCAAGCCTAGTGGTGTGGCACCGCAAGTTTGAAGTTACTGTTACCCTAAGGGTCCATGTACCCAAATAGTATATACTTTGGTCTTAAAGTACACCGTATATAGGTACTTCGAGACCATTGTATATACTATTTGGGTACATGGACCCTTAGGGTTAGACATGTCAGACATGACAGCTTTCGCAAGACAATGTCAGAGCCCTATATCCTGGGTCCATTACCATGTTCTGACCACCTTTACCTTAGAGGCCAATATTATTCCTCAGGGATATACAATAAAGGAGCCCTAAACCCTGAACCCTAAACCCTAAACCATGCAGAGCCCAAGCCTACGACTCGTTGACCCTGAGCACCGAAAGCTGGAAGATTCGACCTCCCGAGTTTGACATGGACCGGGGTTGCAGGCTACTACTGTTGATGATGTACATCCTGCATTACCTTAAAGAGCCGAAACTGTGGGGAAGTATGGTATATTCCTAAACCCTAAACCCTAAGCCCTAAATCCTAATTATGGGTAATGCAGGATTTATAGTATCAAGCGTATGGACAAGGGCTGCAGGCTACTACTGCTTGGAACTAGGGAGCTTCGGGTTCAGGGTTTAGAAGGGAGCCATAATATAGGGGCCTAAAGAATTACCTATATAACTGTGGGGGCTCCTTGTTCAAATTACAGTGTACAGGGCCCCTAAGCCCTATCATCATTATTAAGGCCCCTACACTCTAAACCCTAAACCCTAAACCCTAAACCCGAAAACCCAACCTACAACAAGAAGTGATCGGTTTCAGAACGAGGGTCGCTGAAAGCCTTGAGGCTGGCGATCCTTGAGATTCCCAGGTTCTCCTTCTTCTTGCAGTATTAGTAATAGTAGATTTAGGGTTTAAGGTTTAGGGAAGTTTCCCTCCTAAGCCTTAAACCCCCCTAAAACCTAAACGGGGCTGGGCTTTTGGGGTTTTGGGCTTGGGTTTGAGGGGTTGGGTTTTAGGGCTTAGGGTTTAGAGGATAGCCCAGGTGTGAAAGGGTTTCGGGCGTAGGAAGTTTGCGGTTGGCGTTTGATGCTCTGTTGCGCATGTGAAGTTGTAGTTGCTTTCATCTGAGCTGTCCTTAAACCTAAGGTTACTCGAACCTCGCAAAATCTGGGTTGTTTGGGCTGCTAGTTTTTGGAGCCCAGAGGTAAACTGTAGGCCCAAACTTAGACAGATGGTGCAAGGCTTAGGGTTAAGAAGCTCCGATTAATGTAGGGGCCGTAACAATTAGAATAGGGTTTTGGGGGATTTATAGTATCGTATAGTATGGCCCCAAACTATTAAGGCCCCTATATTAAGCCACTATTTCCCCGTGCTCAGCCCTTGCTAAGACCTTATGTAGGCTCTTATCACGCCCCATGGAGCTCTTTTTAATCTCTCACTGAGCCCTCTGCTTTTGTTGAGTTCCATTAGCCCCTGTTTGGGGTGCATTCTTGCAGGATTCCGGCGAGCCCGAAAAAGCCAAAGAGGCTGTGCCTGCTCATCGCAGGGGTGGGGTTGTGTAGGCCTGGGTGTTTAGAGTTTAGGGGTTTTGATGTTGAAAATTGTTAGGGATGGTTTGGCCGTTGGCGGTTTGAGAGGCCGCGATGCTGATGTGGTTTGGGTTGGGATTTGGAATCTTCTCGTTCTTAGCATCGGTAGCACCGTACACCCAATGTCTACCAGCACCTTCTACAGGAGTTCAAGTTACTTACTCTGCATCGATGAAAAACTCATTTTTGAATCATATGAGCAACACCCTGTCAGGGGCACCGAAATCGTTTTTCGAACCGCTATCCCTCAAAGCTCCAAAACCCCAAGCCTACAACTCCACTTTCTCAAAACTCCACGGAGTAGGGTTTAGTGTTTAAAACTGCTAGACTCGTGGAGAGCCCTTCCAAGAAGGCCTGATAGAACCTGCATCACTCTTAAATACTATGCTTCTGCCCAAAGCCCTGAACAGGACATTTGTGGGGATCTCTTTACATTTGTGGTTTCGGGTTTCTGAAACTTTCGTTTTCAGGGCCTCCAAAAAGAATACTTTTTGCTGTACTGCTTAGCAGGACCAGCAAGTCGTGCCATACAACCGTAAACCCAAAACTGGCAAAAAACACGTTCGAACAGCTTGAGAACAGATGATGCCAGTGTTGTGTCCACCCGCCCGTTTGTGTAGTGTACGTGTGCGGCTCTTGCTGTCAGCCCACTGTCAGTAGCTGGGATCGCACTTGGTCACTCGGTGTATATTCGGGGTAGCCGGGCTGCCGTAACTGACGGTCGTTGCAAGGCGAGTTCGGCATCGTTTGCAGCCCCTGTGTTGTACCCTGTGCCGGTTGGGGTTGGGCATTGTAACATTGCAGACATTGCAGTACAAGGAGCTGTGAACTGATTTAATATAGGGGCCTTCATAATTAGAAAAGGGTTTTGGGGCCCATGATGCTCGAATAAAACGAAGGAACCCCCAAAATAGCATTGGTAACTATTTAGGCCCCTGCATTCTTAGGACTTGCACCAGCACTTTAGTGTAGCGTTGTCCTGGACTGCGATCCAGTCTGCCAGGCGGGAGGTGCCTAATTAGGCTTATGCGATCCTTAAGGGAGGGGGTTCTAAAAACCCTAAACCCTAAACCCTTAATTTAAGAGGGGTATATAACCCAATAATCTCCAATTCTGCCCAGGGCTCCCTTAGGTTCCCTAAAGCTCCCTAAGGATCCCAAGGGCCCTCCCCACTTGAACCACCCTCCCTTAAGGATCCGATAGTAGACACTCAACCACAACACCGTTGAGGACCTTTAAGCCTGAAGCTATACGGCTCTTGAAGCTATTCGGCTCTTGGTTGTGGTTTTGCAGTTGACTGTGTTTTTTGTTTATGCTCTGTTAAATCAAACAGACTTTTCTTAAAAGAGGCATTTTTTTGGCCTACCTCCTACAGAGAAGGGGAAAGCCCTAAACCCTAAACCCAGCTTGTCAGGTCCTCGAGCAAGGGATTGACCTTCACCCAAAGGGCACTCAAGCGGGGCAGAACTTGCTCGCGATGATGAAGAACGCCAAGGTCGGCATCGTTTATGCGTCCGGTTTAAGGGTTTAGAAGACCGCCAAGGTGAGTTTTAGGGCCTAGTTCAGGGCTTAGGGCTTTATTGCAGGTATTTGAAGTTTAGGGGGTAGATCGAGGCGGTTTGATCCGAAGAAGACCAAGGCCGGGGTCGGGTTCAGGAAATTTGGGAATAAGGATCCTGCCTGTACTTGAGGGCGTGGGCGTTAAGGTTTGAGGTGTCGGGGTTTAGAAGAACGCCAAGCTCAGGGATTTCATAAGGGTGCCCATAAGGATTTTGCTTACTGGTCTGTCTAAATGAACGGCAAGGTCGGGTTCTTTAGGCATGTACAGCAACGGCACGGTCGGGTTTGGGTTTTGAAATGATTGGGAAAGTTCCCGGGCAGTTAGGTCATCAGGTCCTGCAGCTTATTTCGGCGGAACCTGGTGTAAGGATGCAGCAAACCAACTTCACATCCCGCGGCCTTCCCCATGTTGAAACGCGCAGTTTGCTCTCACGAGAATCTTAACAATTCGGGTGGTTGAATAAGGGTTTAAGGTTCAGGGCATCTGGGCCTCTGCACTGCTAGCGTTTGTTTTTTCGGGTGGGGGGGGGGGGGGG